TACTGTTTGGTACTGTTTGGTACAGTAATGACTGGTACTGTTTGGTACAGTGTGTGTTTTTGTTGAAAACCACTCCATGTCATGTGTTACGCTGCAGTAAATCTTTTTCTTCATCTTTTTCTTCAGCAGCTTTTTCTGCCCCGGCCCTGAGCGCCTCTGGTGGCAGGAGGACAAACCAGACATTCAGCAGCTTTTTCTGCCCTCTGGTGGCAGGAGGACAAACCAGACACGTAGACTGACTGACAGACTGACTGACTGACTGACTGACACACACCTCAGCAACAAGAAGCCCACAGAGCATCCAGTGGTGCAGCAGATGCACCAGCTTCTGTTCCTTCACAGCCTGGACCAATAAAATCCGTCTTTCATGAGTTTTTGTCTTTCATCAAACATCACCTCAACAACAACGGAGAAAAGTAAGAAATCAGTTTAATCCTGTACAGACCGACCAACACCAGGACACCTCCTGTTCTTAAGAGTTTCAGTTTGGCAGTCTTTGACAGGGGGTGGGGGGTGAGGAGCAGGGTGAGTCAGTTCAGTAGTTTCTCCAGGGGCGGTCTCCCGTCTTCACACCTGGTCTGAACCCAGTTCCTGGTGAACCTGAAGGTCACATTAACCCATGACGTCAGTGTCACTGAAAGACTTGATGAAGGTCAGAGTAGAATCAGAACCTTCAGTCTACAGACCTCCTTCAGTATTCTTCGGCGCAGCTCCCCCTGTGTCAGTGGACGTTCCTCCTCAGTGACCGGCGTCTCCTCTGTGTCGTACTCCACACTGAACACACACAGTCATGACAAATGTAGTTACAGGTGTAATAACACGTGTAGCTACAGGTGTAATAACACGCGCCACGACCTCTACAGCAGTCCAACACCGACCTCCTGACCGCAGGCTGCGTCCTGACAGCAGACTGAAGCTCGTCTGGATTCTGAGCCAGCAGGATCTGAGCCAGGTCTCTTGGATTGTAGTCCTTGTCCAGATCCTGCAGAAAACACAGTCCGATCAGAAACTGTTGAGCTGAGTTTCCTGAATCACATTATTACGTGTCTGTGAGACGTCACGTCCTGCTGTCAGTTAAAATGTTGTTGTGTTAAAATAACATCATGTTTTACAGTGAAAATGAGATGTGACGTTCTGAGGCTGTTCTCATGTGTGACCACATGAGGGCAGCAAGACAAACAACTGCTGCCTGTTGTTGTTGTTGTTGTTGTTGTTGAAGGCCACGACAGAAACCTTGGACTTGATGAAGTCCTGAATGGTGAGCAGCTGGTTGGTCTTCTGCTCCACCAGCCCCAGGTAGAACATGATGTTGTTGTCACTGATGCCGGTGGACAGACCCAGCAGGTCTTCGACCAGCGAGCGGTCACACTGCAGAGCAGCGAAGGTCCGGCTCACTCCTGGAGGAAGAAACACACGGCTCAGGGTTTGGTATAGTCTTGGAAACATTTGGTGGGTTTCTATCAACATAAACCTAACACTAGGTGGCAGTATTGCAGAAAGACACACTATGCTCTGTCTGGTTACAGTAAACTCTAGTTTAACTAACTAACTGACTGACTCTAGTCAGTCAGTTAGTTAGTTAGTTAGTGAAGAGAGACCACTGTGAGTACACGTCTGAATAAAAGGCCTTGGTCTTGGCTGGCTAGTTAGTTAGTTAGTTAGTTAGTTAGTCGGTCGGTCGGTCGGTCAGTCAGTCAGTTAGTTAGTTCGTTAGTGACTGATGTTTGATTCAAGGAAATGACAAAAATAATAAATCAATAAATGAATCCCAGTTCCGTGCCTGTCCTAATCTGCTCCAGGACTCGACCCGTGTCGTCAGCCTTGAGTTCAAACTCCTGAGCTCTGGACTGTGTTTCCTTCAGCTGCTCCTCAGTGTCCCTCAGCAGAGCCTGCTGCTCCTGCTCCTGCTGCAGACCTTTCTGTCCGTACTCCTCCATCTCTCCTTCCATCTGCACATCCACACCGTACAAACATTATCGGTTCAAGGCCTTGAACGGTCCAGCTGATTCCAAACTCACCCTGTTGATTTCACCCCTCAGCGCCTCCACCTCCGTGTTCTGTTCATTAACAAAGTTAAACAGTGCCAGGTTCCGGTCCTCAGCTGCAGGAGGAGGACAACAAACATGAAGACAACTTACAGAGCAACATTAAACGGTGATTTATCAGGAGAAGGTGATGTCAGGTTTAAATCAAAGATCTGCTCTTAATAAAATAAGCTCTTACCCTGGATGAACCTGGTCACCAGCAGGTCCACGTCCTCCTCCCCCGTCACCTCCTGGATTCTGTGTAGAACGTCCTCCAGACTGTCCAGCGTCTCCTCTCCTGCTCCTGCCCTCTGCTGCTCCTGCCCTCCAGACTCTGGGACAGTCGCCTCATCAGAACACGTCAACATCTGAACACGTCAACCTGATTAACTCTGACCCCACCACGTCTGTGTCCCGTCTCCTGCCGGTTGTCCTGCCGGTTGTCCTGGCGGTTGTCCTGGCGGTTGTCCTGGCTGCTCCTCTCGCTGCACTTGGTGGTCATGAACTCCTTCAGGTTGTTCTCATGTGCAATCACCCTCTCCAGCTCCTTCATCTCAGCGTTGAACTGGAGCAGGTCCTTCAGGGCCTTCTCCTTCATCAGGCTCATCTTAGACTGAGCCTCCATGCTACGGTCAGAAACCAACATGACCACTGGTCAGAACAACATGAATGGGGGGGTGGGGTGGGGTGGGGTAAGGTACATCTTGACCTAAACCAACAGTAACCTCGTCTGACCTTGCGTCGTAGGCTGCGGTCGACAGGTTGACCACTTCGCCGATCTTCTTCTTCACCTCCTCCAGTTCCTACGACACAGACAGTGAATGAGGAGGTCCATTTTCCCAGAACCACTAGGAGCAGTGCAGTAGACTTAAAGCACACAAACCCCCCCCCCAAAATGGTGTCGTCAGTAGGGGGACCTCTGACCTTCTTCCTCCGGTTCCTTCGCCGCTGCA